GATAGAATAAGAAGTGGACGAAGAACTGCGGTACATGTTGCAGAAAAAAGCGTTAGAAGAAATTAGATGAGATGGTCCTTTTGATTATGATCCCAGCTTTGAACACATCATTGAGGATGGCACCAACGGTTTTAATAAGGATGATGACCCAGGCTATGACCAACAACAACTACGGAGATCACGGAGACCACAGAATTTGGATTTAAAACCAGGTAGTCTTGAAAAGTGTTGTGATTATTCTCATGCTTTCCTTATCGATACTGAATTGCCATCTTTTTGTTGTGATAGGGGAAAAGTTTTACTCGGTGACATATTCAAAGAACCACCACAGTACATGAGGGAGATCTTATTGAATCCAATCACGTCAAAATATTCTTGAACAATCAATACAATTCTTTCGTTATCATCTTTGGGTTCTAACAGTGCTGGTGATTCGAGAGGTGGAGCTTATTTAATAACCATCAACAGACGTTTATTCCATAGAGTTGATGGCATGATAACTCAATAAAATGGCCAAGAGAAATTTGCAGAGATTTATACACTAGCTCCTGGCTTAACTACAAACCCTCAAATTGAATCACTTAGAGGTGTTCTTCAAAACGATGAAGAATATAATGAACTTGAGGACTACAGTAGGAAGATTGGTGGATTTCTGTCTCAACACAATCTTTATGCACAGCTGTTATATACCGCTGGAGAAATTGTTCAACAGGGAATTACAGAAATAGAGTTAACCAGAGGAGAAATTATCGTTCAATTTGCGAATATTGAACCAACAGCACCAACAAGCCGAGAAAATCACGTTGCCAGAGGTTAAAGAGTTTGCCTTGGTGTGCAGAAGCAATAACAGCAGAACGTACTTCAATTTCAGTACGTATAAAGGGAAAATCTACAGCTGGCTCCACTTTTATCAATACTATTTGCAAGAGAGTTTTTTTTTTACCTCTGAGATGTTCTCTTTTAATTAATAAAAGACGAGACAAATCTTTTCCATACTAACAGGACTCGGATTAGTATCATTCTAACATATTCACCCCATACACACACTTGCGACTACATATACGAAATCTTTCACCACAGTCTGAGGAAGCTCTTTAGGCGTTGACTTCGTTAGTTTCAGTATCATCATTTTATTAACGAGAGACTAGGGATTAAAGTCCAACACCCGACGGGCCGTGCAGCGCAAGCTGGTCGTAAAGGGAGCGGTGATTCT